TTCCATGTGTCTGTATTTAATTTTCCTGATACAGCACACCCTTGAGAACTTCTTGGAGATCTGGTCTGGTGCTGGTAAATTCTTTCAGGTTTTGTTTATCTGAGAATGTTCTTGTCTTTTCTTCCCACATGAAAGATAATCTTGCCGGGTACAGTATTCTTGGCTGGAATTGCTTTTCTTTTAACACTTTGAATATATTTTCCCATTCTCTCCTCGCTCGCATTGTTTTCGATGAGAGATCTGCTGTTAGCCTGATGGGATGTCCTATGTAGGTAACTTGATGTTTTTCTCTTGCCAATCTTAGTATCTTGTCTCAGTTTTTTTTTTCACATTAGATTATCACGTATGTAAAAAACTGTAAGAATGCTAAGTATATATAGCTTGATGGAGTTTCACAAAACAAACATACCTATAGGTATGAGACCATCTGTGGGATTGAGAAATAGAGTATTATCATTACCCTAGAAGCTATATTCATGTTCTTCTTTCCTCTCAAAAGACAACCTCTAGTTTCACTTTTTTTTTTTTTAGAATTATTTTATTTAACTTTATTTTAATTTGACCAGAGATGGAGAGAGAGAGAGAGGAAGCAAGTCTCAGGTCCAGGACTCAAACTGTGGTCAGCCATGTGGGAGTCCAGTGCCCTCAACCACCACGCCACCTGCCAACCCCTAGTCTTACTTCTGACATCATACACTAGTTTGTTCATTTCTAACTTTATATAAAAGAAACCATTGAACATGTATTCTTCTCTACCTGGCTTCTTTTCCATAATATTATGTTTTTAAGATTATTCGTTTTTTGGGGACCAGCAGTTAGTGTAATGGCTATGTCGCTGGACCTCCATGTAGTCAACTGCGGTTTGAGTCCCAGACCCGGTGGCTTAAACTCACGCCAGGTGTATGTGCGTGTGTGCCCAAGATCCTGAGAGGAGGATGGAGGGGAGGGGATTGTGGGGGGTGATTTCTCACTTTCTGTCTCTCTGTCTCTCTCTGTCTCTCTGGTGAGCATACGTGCCCTATAGCAAAAACCTCTCCACAAAAAAAAAAAAAAGATTATACGTTTTTGTCATTTTTATAATTGTATCATACTACACTGTGTGAATGTAATACTGCTAATTAATTTTATTGCTTCTAAAAAGTTTTCTAGAGAGATTTTTGCTATAGGGTATGCATGCTTGCAGGAGAGACAGAGAGAGATAAAGTGAGAAATCACTCCCCAGGGGTAACGGCCATGCCACAATCTCTTTTCCTCCATTCTCCTACCAGGGTTTTGGGCATGTACACACATGCTCCTGGCATGTTTCAAGTTGCTGGGTTAGGGACTTGAACCACAATCAGCCATGTGGGTGTCTGGCACCTTAACCACCACGCCACCTACTGGCCCTATTTTATTCTTCTTTAAAGCTGATTTTTAAATTTCTTTAGAGAGAGAGAGAAGTACTTTGAACAGTCCCTTCGTTCTGTAATCTAGCCCTATCCTCCGACAGCCAGGATTGTAGTAGACATGCATGTGTGGCTGGCATGTACAGGAATATCTCAGAGCACAATCCAGGAGTTGTCCCAATGGTTCATGAGTCAATATTGTGCCACCATGGCGGAATAATTTATTCTATTGTTTATGAATATTAGGTCGCTTCCAGTTTGGAGCAATCACAAGTAATGCAATTATCAATACCTTTTTACTGACTTGTCATACGAATGCATGCATTTCTGTGGATTACAAACCTAAAATAGAATTGCTGGGCTATGCACATGTTCAGTTTCTTTTTTTTTTTTGATTTTTAAATTTATTTTTACATTTTCCCACAAACACTTACTTTACATATTAAAAAAATTTTAACTCATACTCCATAGTTCTTGAAAGTTAATAAACGACTTTCAAAATACTGAATTTTAAAGATAATGTTCAAAATATTTCTTATAATTTTGTTTGTGACTCTATAACAACAGAAACAGTATGATTTTAAATATTTTTGAGAAAATATTTACATGTCAACTGCTCAAATCGTTGAAAAGCAAATGCCCAGCATACTAGTCACACATACACCTTCTCAATTCAGCTCTGCCCAAGTATTCTGTGATCTATCATCTGCTAGCAAAGATCAGTCTCTTTTTCTTCCTTCCAAGTTTTTCTCAAAATAAACCTCTGGTGTGGCTGCTCTTTTGCAGTCTCTACTGATTACAATACTGGGCTGGAAAAGTCCATGTTATTCAGTTTCAATAGACATATCCAAAGAGTTTTCCAAACTAGTCCTACCAACTTCCTTTCCAATCAGAAGTGTGTGAGAGTTCCAGTTACTTTGCATCCTCACCAACATTTGATTTTCGTTGAATTTTTTTTTTTAATTTAGCAAATCTGGTTGATTTGTGGGAGTATATCTTTGTGAAAGTAATTTGAATATCTCAGATAACTGGGGTGACTACATACTCTGGTATATGTCCTAGTAAGTTTGTTTTCCTGATAGAATTATTAATAATGTTCCTTTCATTTTCAACAACAAATTGTATGAATGTGGTTTCCCTACTGATGATTAATGGAGTTGAGCAACACTTAATATATTTATTGTCTATTTCAGTATTCTCTTTCAGGAAGTGCATGTTCAGAACTTTGGCCCTTTTCCTTGCTGGGTTATCTGACATTTAAAAGTTCATTTGTAAAAGTTTTTTCTATATTCTGAATAAGAGCCCTTTGCCAGATACATGTATTACAAATATGTGTTTCACATTCCAGCTTGCTTTTTCACTCTTTAACTGGTATCTTTTAATTCAGAAGCTCCTAATATGATGAAGTCAAATACCTCAATAGCTTAATTTATAATAACTAATAAATTAATAAGAGTTTAACTGTATAACTTATAATTATATAAATTTTGTTATTGCTCAAGACATTCTTATCTACTCCTAGCTAATGAAAATATGCTCTCATTTTTCTTAGAATCTTATTGTTTTAACTTGCACATTTAAATTTACAACTCAACTGAAAATGATTTTTGTGTATAATATAATAAAGAGTTAAGAGTCAAGTGTTTTTTTTTTTTTTTAATAAATAGATAT